TGTGTTATCCCACCATTGTCCAGCAGGTGTCAGTGTAGGGCTGTGATGAACTAATCTGACATTTGGCGCAAATCTCAGAAACTTGGTAACAAATCAAACATTTTTTTCCATAGATTTATAAATGTGATAATTATCTTATGATTGGAGCTTATTCATAAAGCATTACCTGGATTATTTGCTGGGAAGTATGGAAAGACATGGGAATAAATCTTTGCCTAATATCCAATATTAGGCAAAGCAGTTGTTGGATAAAAGAGGACAATTTAGAATCAGTTTTTAAGTCCCTTGACGTGTATTTCATTAGTTAGACAACTAGCCAAAAACATTTATAGTCTGGTGTATCTCAAATGTTCTCTTTAATATGATTTTCTTAGTTTCTGCTAATATAAATCTAAAATTCAGCTTCAGAAAGTTAAACGCTGACACTGAGGCACCTAGGCAGTCATGTTGAGACCGCTGATTGGTTATTGTTTCAGTCGACACTTAGAAAAGCTCATTACCAAGAAAGGTAGGTGACATGGAGTGACCTATACTGATTATTGTGGAGAAAAGGTGTGGCCTATATTTGCACTAAGAGGGACAACCTCAGCCTTTACACACTACAAATAAAAGGGAGCTGTTTTATGGGGCTTTTTGGAATAACTCCCAGTCATGAAAAACACAAAGAACTACTATGTAGTTGCAAATATTGCATTAACCCAATAAAAAGTGTTTCTAATTTTGACATCTTTTAGATTTTTTTGGCTTTAAAGTTGAATTTTAACTGCACTTCTAAGAACATTTTTGGTTTTTAGAAATCCTTCATTATAGATATACAGGCTGCAGCCTGTCTGTTCACCACAGGTATTTCTAGGAAATGAAATTACAGTCCTCTCCTGCTGTCTGCTAAAATATTTGGTGATCATGTCCACTGTGTATCCATCCAGCAGACAGTCACTGACATTCTGCACAAAGGGGGTAAACTGAACTCTACAGGTCACTGAAGCTTGGGTTTGCCAGAGTGCTGCATCCAGACATGTTAATGGAAAACTGGGGCGGAGGAAAAATGAATCCTCAAGCATTTATTTCTGATTTGTAGAGATTAATATGAGCGAAAGCAAAGCAGACACTGAAGATGGCCTTAAGGCTGCTAGTAAAGCAACCAGGCCATGCCTGATCTCCTGCATGCTTCCCTGCACTGATGAGGTAATCAGCACTCAGGTATTCATTACAGACACAGTACAGTAAATGAACATTGATGGATGGATGTTTAAAAAAATAATTTCTAATCCATCTGAGGTCTAGGTGACAGTAGTAGCCTAACATTTGTTGTCACAGCTCTGAAAACAGCCCTCCAACTGCATTCCTAATAGGCAGGGCTCCTCAATTACCACACCCTGTTTGGGTTTTTTGTGACTGGAAATATTTCCAAACGGTCAAAATGCTTTTCTGTTGAGAAAAAAAGTCTATTCTTTTGTCCCGTTGACAAGCAGAACATAGTTCTATGTCAAACAGAAAACTCAGGCGTTTTCTCCGACATCTCACTGACAGGACTTTAAAGCATAGGAGCAGTATGATGGATTCACACATTCTTGAACTGGTTTCACTTTCAAATCCCTATTTATCATGAATTTATAAACATATTTTCCTTCCACTTAACTTTCTTTAATTCAGCATTCTGTGAAGAAAAGCTGCTGTTACTGCACTACTATCAAGTCAGTTCTCGAAGGCCGATACTTTATTTATGTATTTCATTCAATTAAACATACCGTAACTCATTCATGAAACCAAAACCGTGACTGAAAGGATCAGAAGGAAGTAAAAGTTATATCTTCCACTATTAATAAAAAAGGGGGAAAAAAGTATTACAATGCAAAAATAGCATACAATGTTTACTAATTCACAAATACAATGATATTTCATTAGGTTATTCGTTATCATGGCTTCATCATCAACAGTTTCAATATTTTTTATAGTATAGAAAACCTTTTTGATTGTTTTAGATTGTTGAATTAATCAACAGCTCTATTAGAAATACATGGCAGTTTGTTTTAAGTTTTATTTTCTCTCTCCTTCTGTAAATCTATTCGAATATTTTTTTTTTCCATTTTTTTTTCAAGTCTTATACGTGAAAAAATTAAAATCTAGATAAGTAATTTTTTTCTTAAAATAATTTTATTTCTTCTTGAATTGAGGAGGTAAAAGAGAGGTTTTGCTAATAGAACAAGACAATTTAGATTTAAAATAAGAAAACAATACTGCATCATCTAATGATCTTATTTTAAGAGCAAAAATACTGCTTCCATTGGCAACCTATCTCATTTATCTTCTAAAATTAAGGATAAATACAATTAATTTAAGAAATCTTTACTTATTTGTAGATTGTTTTTCAAGTTTATTTAAGATTATATACTCTATCAATTCATTAGGCTTTAATATGATTAAAGGTATAAATATTGGTTTTGTATGATCTCCGTAGCCACTATATGGAGTCAATATTGCTCCATTATAAGTAAGGAACACATACTGGAAATGCAAATTTGAAAAAAAAAAAAAACAAGCAGCAGCTCAGAAATTAAACTCAGAAAAATATTCATACCCCAAAAATATTTCCTTAAAATTTTTATTCTTTCAATTTATTTTTGTTAATTTATTTTCATATCTTTTTTTAATTTAATTTCTTAAATTTTTTTTTTTACATATTTGAAATGTAGTTTTTTTTTTCAAGTTTCTCTTTTGAGGGTATGTTATATAAATAGTTTCCTTTTCAAATAGTTCTTTATAGATCACATTCTCTTCATTTTAAGCCCAATAAAAACGTTAACGTCCATGCAGAGCAATAGAAATGCGTCTTTGCTCCTCACATCGGTGAAAAACCCCCATAGTAAGGAGAGTTTTATATGAAAAACCCAATAAAAAAAATATATAAAAAACTGTTTGTAAAACTCAATTTTTAAAAAACTGAAAAATTTAAAATATTAATTTGGAATGTGAAATGTGAATTTCAAATCTGAGAACACTACTGAAGCCCAGATCGGTCGTGTCCCTCTGATCCTTTTTTTTAACCGAGGTCTTCTCGAAAAAACAAGTTAATTTTCTAATTATCTAAAGATAATGAAAGACATTTTTTCGTGATAACGAGATGATGGGTTTTAAAACCGATTACATCCTTCAATAGCACAACAGCTGGAAATTATTTATAAGTATAAATCATGGCAGCCTATGTGTAATTCTGTAAATAATGCTGTGTTTAACTTTTAGGTAACGAGACAACGTTGCTGGTTTGATGATTCTCTTCCACTTCTGATTCATAAGCAAATCGTCCTATGCCTGCGGCTGTTTTCTAAAAGCCTAGGTGTTACGCCTGTAACTGGTATCAGATGCATAAACCCCCAAAATGAATCCAGATTAAAGATTTTCATTAAAAAAACAGATTTTTTTTCTACTGTATTCCATGCAATCCAATCATCCTCGACTGCACAACTACTAGGCATGGATGGACTGGGAATCCAGGGCTGCTGATCAGCCTCATTCATTACTCATACAGGTTAATTATCTCCTAATCTCAAGAAATCAATAACTGTTTTATCCTGATAATGAGATAATTATCTCGTTATCTCAAGAAAATAAATTAATGGTATAACTGTGATAACGAGATAGTTATGTCGTTATCTTGAGAAGGCAAAGGGAAAAAAGGCTTCCGTAGAATGCAGCAAACTTTCTGTCTTTGTTATAACACTACATTTGATCATGGGAAATATGTGTGCTTGACTAGAGGGGGAAATTTCATAAGGAAGACGAAATCATTTCTAAAGTACAATATTATGTTTCATAGGTTAATTCAAACAATCAGAAAGTGCAGCTTAAACCTATTGCTAAAGGTGAAACTTTATTGTTACATATACAATAAGGGGAAAGATGGCAAACTGAAAAACAGTGTGCAAATACCACAACAGAATCTGCAAACCAGAAGCGGAGAAAGTGTATTCAGGGCAGATTTTATTTCTGTGTGTCTAGTCTAAGAATACAGCTGACACTAAAACCAATTTGAAACTTGATTTTGACCTTTTTTTTTTAGTATAAAGTTTTATTGCTAAGTTGTTTCCCCCCCCAAGTTTTCATTCACAAAACATGTTCTTTGCTTGCAACATAATCTGGAGGTCTTCAACAGGGGGTTCTCGACCCCTAGGGGGTCCACGGAGGAACAGCAGGGGGGTCTCCAACGTTTTGTTTGATTACTTATTTTTATATTCCCCCTGCATTTTTTTCCAATAATTGAAATTTCTTTAAATCCACATTAACATGAATTGAACACACTGTAGTAAACAGATAAATGGAGGCAGAAGATGTCTTTCAGTCATCAATGCACACATTCAGCGACACACAGGAGCTCTTTCAAGCTGGGCACCGTTTCATTCACAACACCTGTCCCATCAAGGAGGAAACAGAAATACTTTAATAATCCCAGGGAGAAATAACTTTAGTTACATTACTCCTTATATAACAGAGTGACTATAGGACCAGTTTGATAGAACACAATTTGATAGAATATATATAATTGGGGGGTCCGCGCTCCATCTCGCCATCCTTGGCCTGGAAAACATTGAAGACCCCTGGCATAATCAACATTTGGGTAATGTGTTTAATATTGATCTATTTAATATCATTAGAGACATCTACATTAAATCCCTAATGCTTCCATCACACTCTGCGTATATATCATATATTTTTTCCTTTTTTAATCCGCTCATGGAAGCAAAGTAACCTTTCCATGTTTAATTAGGTCCCACCTGTGCTGCGCTTTGTTCATGTTTGTAATTCTTATTCAGAAATGTGAGTAATAAAGTCTCCATGTTGTGTTTTTTTCCAGTGTGGTCAGTGATTATGACTCATGCTGAAGTTCAAAGCAGGGCCGACCTCTCCCCGCTCAGGTAACGCCTCCCCGACGTCACGCACGCCGACGTCAGCCGCCTGACGGACAGGTAAGGCGACACCGGCCGCCATATTGGGAAAGAACGGAAGTAAGAGAGAGAGAGAGGGAGATTAGAGAGGTGGAGCAGTTTCCGAGAAAAGGGCGTCCTCCTTTTTTTCTTCTTCAGTTTGTCTCTCCGGAGCAGGAAGGGGCGGTCTCTGCGCCACACCACAGCCGGAATTAGCCCGCGTTCGCTCGGCTCCGCTCGGTTCGCCTCCAGCCGACTCAGAACCGGAGCAGAGGGCGAGAGGAAGAGGAGAAAGAGCCAGGGTCGGGACGTTTAACGGCGGGAGAACAAGCTGGAGTTTACAGAGGCGGCGGAGAGGAAAGGAGAGCAGGAATAAAGGAGGAGAAGAAGAGGAGGAGAAGATGCCTCTGGCTCAGCTGGCAGATCCCTGGCAGAAGATGCCGGTGGGGGGGACGGCTGGAGAGGTGAGAGCCTGCAGGGACCAAACCCTCCAACTAACTCTGCTCACTGCTGAAAGCTCTGAAAGCTGCAATATCCAGCAGAAATATTTAAAAAATAAACAACTAAATTATATCACAATAATATAGTTTAATAACAAGTTAACTTTTACACCCTAGAAGCAGAAATAGACTCTGCAGGTCCCAAATAGGGCTGTGTTTCTGTAGAAGCTCGGTTTAAGCTCAGCTTCATGTCTAAAACAAGCTGCAACATGTCAAAAGTGGAGCAGTGGGACTGGAAGATGTGCAGAAACGATAAGGGGCTGCAGAGTCTGCTCCACAAGCTGCTGGAAACTTTGCATTTCCAGATTATTCTGCAGAAAAGAGCTTTGTGTGAAGGAGTCACTGATCTCTGTAATGACTCAATTTGCATTGTGAGCCTCCAAATGTGGAGCTGTCACTGCAGCTTACAGGCTGCAGGATGATGCCTGCACTAGAAAACCTTTGGATAAGTTAGTGGGGCTACATCTAAAGCAGAAACACTGAAGGTCATCTACATGAAGGAGAAAGCACCGCTCATTCAGAAGAATTAAATAAAAGTGAGCTAAAAGCTTCTTATTTAGGTTAAAGAACAACTTTTATACAGAAAGATGCTTTATTACCAGATGGAATAATCTAAAGGCTCAGTTTAAACTCAGTTTTAGCAGAAAAAACAAGCGTAAACATTTGAAATGAAGAGATTGCGCACATAAGTATAATGTTTCTGATCAGAAAAAGGGTTTTAGTTTTACTGCAGGGGATGGAAATCCTCCTAAAAGCCAACAAACGGGTTAAATATTTGCTGAAACGTGCTGGAGCTTGTAGAAAAGACAAAAATGTGACACCCTGATGTGAAACCAAAAAAAAAAAAAAAAAATTACAAAGGGATCAGCAGCTGCACGTAAAAATGTCCTCCACTCACCAGGATCCAAATGTAAACGAGAAACCGCGAGATGATAAAAGTATTTCCCACCCTGACTTCTTCAGCACGCAGTTGGCCAGGCCGCTGGGTATGTTTGTGACCCTCCTCTGATCACAGAGGGTGAAACAAATATGAATGGGTGCTGAGGAAGCAGTGGAAAATGAACATTAAAGCTCGGAGGAGAAAATGAGATTACAGAGCACTTTAAACCATCGCTATGATCTCAGAGGAAGCCATGATGGAAGAAACAAGACACCTTAGTTTACATTCCAGCAGAGGCTTAACAGCGAGGTCAACTTTGACTCATCAGCTGATGGACGGTCTGCAGATGTACAGAAAGTTCACTTTTATTTGTCTGCATCAGATAACTGATGGTTTGCTTTGTGCGGCCTGGAACTTTAAAGGACGCAGCCGATGCTCCAAAAATACAGCGACAAACATCAGGATCTGTTAGAAATATGAAAAAATACATGATGGTGGATTATTATGAGGAAGGAGGAGCTGCTGAGATGTTCTCGGGTGGTTCGGGGAGCTGGAGGGGATGCTAGAGCCCGCAGCATCACTATTTTCATCAGACACCCATGGTGAAAATGATATGATTAAATTGGGTCCATTTAACAAAAAATAGAGCTTAGGTTTAAGGTTAGTTAGAGTCTGGATGTGTCGTGTGGGCAGGATATGAAACAAAGTGCAATATTTCACAGCATCCTGTACATAAAAAGGTTAAACTCAATGTTTTTTTGCCAAATCTAAAAATAAATCCTCAAGTTTGAACTCCTGTTGTATCAAAAAAGTTGGATTCAGTTTATTCAAATCTGACTTTATGTGATCCTTTAAAAAAAACAAAAAACAGTGGGTCTTCTGGCCTTTAAGTTCTGCTCATCTTCAAGTCATTCGATCTGGACCGAGCTGCGCTCTGAGAATCGTGCTTATGTGTGGGAGGGAGGCGTTCCGACCATAACTGGATCGGCAGCCTAAGCTGATCATTAATCCGTCATGAAGGTCAAATAAAGTCACTGCAGGGAAATCCAGAAGTTAAATGTGTCAAATGATGAGAGAAAAGTTTAGTTTAAAGGGGAAACGTCTGTTTATCCTCTACAGAGAGCCTCCACTCAGCTACTTCAGAGGATTTAGGTCCATTCTGGGTCAGAACCTGCATGTTGGAGCTGTAGGGATGAGAACCATGGTGATAAAGTGATGTTCTGTAGTGATCTGTGTCTGATGCTGTGAGGAAACAGCAGCTTCTGTGTTTTTATGCCATCTCCTGTCGTAGTGGATGAAGGTTATAAAATAAAACATTTTAATTTGGCGTTTAGTTAACAGGAAGAATCAGTTTTAGTAACCTGGGTAACCCTTTGACCTTTTTATCTTTCTAAGCTTTATTTAGGCATCTGTTCAAAAACAAACCTTCTCAGGCTTTGATATAATCTAATCATCCGTTTGATGGTGCGGTAGATAAAATCCAGCGCGCTTGTTTTATCTGCTGGGTGATTGGGGCTAAAGGTGTCCCATCAGTCCGCTTCCTACAGACCCGTCCTCTGCTGCCGAAGACGCTTTGATTTTATCACAGAGAAATCAGAATCAGACGTGGAAATAGAAATATGAGATTGTGCTAAAAAATGCATGAAACCAGGGATTCGTTTGATCAAGATTCAGGAAATTCCTAAAATATTTAGCAGGCAGGCGACTTAGACGGCTTCTGCATGTTTAGTTTTTTTATGCTGAGGAAAAGCTCTAAGCGGCGTTCAGACTCAGCTGGGCTGCTAAACGCTAAAAGCTGTAGAAGAGTTGATGGGAACCGTTGTTAACTGTACTTAAAGTCCAAGTCACCACTTCCTAGAACATCCCAGATGTTCCTCCATCGATTGGCTGCCTCTGCTTATGTCTCAGAGGGAAGAACGCCATGGCGCCATTCTCCTCAGCACCACTCTGAAGCTCCTATTAGCACCAAAGATTCATTCATATCGCATTTTTAAGATGTGGATTGTTTTGATGCAAATCAAAGATCTAAATTTAAACAAAAAAGAAACATTTATTAATAAATCAAAGAAAACATATTAATGAGGAGGAAACTGGAGATAGATGCATGAAAGGACAAATACAGGAATAAAACACAAATTTCAGCCACAGATACTAATCCATGGCCACTCAGTTGCTTGGTAATTGGCCAATCGGATGGCAGCAGCTCAGCCCATTGAGGCTTCAGGATGAAGATGGACGGACAGGGATCAGTCCAAAGAGTTTGGACCTCCGACACAGCAGGTGTGTTATAGAAGAACATTTTCCTTCTTCCACATTCAATCAAAATTCGCACCAGATTTGGATGAAAACTGGATTCCTTTCTGATGACGGTGGACCGTCTTCTGATGGCTGCTTCCATCAGGATGATGCTCCGTGTCACAAACATCATCTTTAACTGGTTCCTTGAACATGAGTTGACTGGGCCCCAGTGGTCTCCGCTGGCCCCTCATCCCCGTTCAGCAGAGCATCTTATAGTATGATTGAAGTGGAGATTCACCTCATGGATGTTAGTGAGGCAGATCTACGTCTGTGATATTTCCATGTTTATTTGGTCTAACTCAGCTCAGAAGATCATTTCAAAAACATTTTTGACTTTATTAAAGAATGAAGGCAGTTCTGAAGAGCAGTAAGGGTGAGAGCCAATCCCAGCTAACCTCTGACATGTCTGGACATACAACTTATACCAATATTTTTATAGACTCGCTCACTTATCCTTTTGGAATTGTAAATAAACGATCTCGCTAACATCTCTTCTACCATCTGCAACCAGATGATCTGATGCTGATTTCAGATCAGTTTATTCTCAGAACTAATACCAATGTATAATGTTTCCCTGCTGGAGCGTCGATGGATCAATGAATGAAGAGCTTGGCCCTAATTCGGTCCGATGAAACTCAGATCCATCGGAGAAAAGTAGGAAAGTCGGTGTCAGCAGCCTGCCTCTGAGAAGGGCTGGTGTCATGATATGGGCTCATGCCTGCTTGTTGGATCGAAGCACAAAAGTCCAGAAGAGGTTTTAGAAGTTGTTACCTTCAGGATAACGGATTTAAGAGACATCTGAGGATTTTTCATCTAACTGGGGGGAAAAATCGCATCCTGAATGTTTATCAGACACGGAGGAAGGAGATGGCAGCGCCTGAGGTTCTCAACTGGTTCTATAGATGGATAATTTAGACCAATGGTATGAAGATCCAGCACTGACGGATACCTGAGGATGTTTGATGAAACTTCGAGCCTCTTAAAGTACTGGGGGAGGAGGATGACAGGAAACGGTGGAAATTGTGTAAAATCTTTGCTGAAATAAACGACTGGGCTTGATCAGAGCAAATATTTTGGATCTGTTTTGCCCAGCTTTACCGAGCATTTTTTATTCCAGAGCTCCGTGTGAGAAGGATCTCCGTTGGGATTTACGTCTGTATTGTCTTTTTCTCAGAACCTTGGGCTGAGAACGGCTCCCTGCGCTCTTCCTCTCCTTCCTCCAACAAGTTTTGAGTCTTGATAAACATCAGGAGGCGGAGCTGCCGCGTTTGAATGTTTCAGGAAGAGGCTACATCTGTGAGAGAGTGTCCATTTCCTGTATGAGTCGTCACATGGGCGGCATGGAGAAATGTGTGCGTGGCTCTCTGTGTTTTACTATTCAATGTGTACCAACAGACCGACCACTCGTTCCTTCTCCATCTCCCCTCCTCCTGAGGAACTCGGACCTGCTTGGCCTGCCTGCTGCTCGCCACAAACAGGAACGTGCAATAAAACCCACCTTTGACCACTTAGCTGCTCCGTCCTCTGCAGTGCAGTTAGATCAGAGCACAGAGACAGTGAGTCACAGAGAAGGCGAGGAAACTGCTTTTTGCTGAGTGGAAATAAAGATTATTGCAGGTCTGGTTCTGCAGCTCTGGTTCTGCGGCTCTGGTTGTGTACCTTTGGTTCTGGCACTTTGTTTCTGGCGCTCTGTTTCTGGCGCTCTGTTTCTGGCGCTCTGGTTCTGCAGCTCTGGTTCTGCAGCTCTGGTTCTGCAGCTCTGGTTCTGCAGCTCTGGTTCTGCAGC